TTTATTTCTCTGGGTTTCTTCAAAGTGAAATTATTTGGCTATACAAAAGAACCAAAAAAAATTCTAAAGTGAAATTATTAGGGATATTTTAGACATTTATGTTGCTCAAATCAAAGTTCGGCGTTGGTTAACAGTTTTTTAATAAAAATTTTAACAAAAGTGCAAGTTTGATAATTTTTACAAAGTACAATGGCATGTTTGATGTAAAAAATAGTAAAGGGGCATGTTTGATAAAATATTATAGTAGAGGGGCATATTATACCCATAATAAAAAATATCATTTTTACTGTTAAGTGACATTTCTAATGGATTATAGGTATAATATGCCCCTCTATTACTGTAGAGGGGCATATTATACCTATAATCCATTAGAAATGTCACTTAACAGTAAAAATGATATTTTTTATTATGGGTATAATATGCCCCTCTATTATGCAGTTTTATCAAACATGTCGCTCAACTATTTTTTACATCAAACATGCCCCTATACTTTGGAAAAATTATCAAACATGCCCTTTTGTTAAAAAATTTATCCAAAAACCGTTACCACAGTTAAACCTTGATTTGGGCGACACAAATGTCTAAAATATCCTTAATAATTTTACTTTAGAATTTTAAAGTTTCTTTGTATAGCCAAATACCTCTAATAATTTAACTTTAACGAGACCTAGAGATATAAATTAGGAGGCAATATTGACATTTTCCCTCTCATTGCTAATGTCGGGTGTCTGAATCTCGGTTCAACTATGGTTTACAAAAATTTTAAAGAAATTTTAACAGAAGGACATGTTTGATAATTTTTCCAAAGTATAAGGGCATGTTTAATGTAATAAATTATAAAAAGAAATATTTGATAAAACGACATAGTAGAATGACATATTATTGATAGACCCCGTATTAAACCGACATCATTTAATGCGTCACTTTAACAAAATATAGTTTACTAATCAAAAACACAAAGTTAGCATGCCCTCTATTCCCTCACCACACGTTGGAGAGCCAAGCTAAGGTAAACTTTGTTCTTGTTGTCAAATAATTAATCATTTCTAATTGGCTGATTTATTAGTTATTTCTATCTCTCACCCAACTCACCAAATCCACTTTCCTAAATGACCACCACGTGTTCAAAGGTTAGAATTGGAGGGTTTGGGTTTAACTCCTTATTACCATCCACCATCCCCACTTATATGGACTCATAAACATTCCATACCTCAACAAATTTACTTTCCAATGTGTGAAGGTATTAGTTGGTAGATGGCTTATAGGAAAACCCCTATTAAGCTACACGTGGACAAAATGATAGACACATTTGCCATGTCATTGTTTGGTGCACAACAAGCAACCAATTTGGGAACTTATACTTCCCCTCAAATTATCACCTCACATGGCCACGTATTTGCCATCACACCTTCTCATACATGATCAACAAATTTGGAGTCAATAATCCATCCTAGTACCCCTCATAACCACGTGTCCAAGGTTGATGGAATGGTGGTGATTTGATTTTCTACACCCAACCATCCATCGCACATTGGTGGTTGGAAGATAAATATATTTTTATATTCTTTACACGTCATCCACGCCAGAAGCAGGAGGCACCTATAAATAGAACGCTCATTTATGCTTTCTCGGCAGTTCATTCTTGATTCGAACTTCTAAAACTCTCTCTCTAGAGCCGGCTCAATACGCCGCTCCCGGTTACTCTCCTCTCAAATACTGACTTGAGCTTCGGAGAAGGTCCCCGCCGACCACCGGCCGCCGGGTTCCTCTTTTGCAGGTGTCCATCTCGGAGGCTGGTGGTGGCGGACGTTGGCCAAAGGAGGATAGCGCTCACCGGACCTCAATCACATTGAAGCAGGCTCCTCGGAGCTTGGCATCAACAATTGGCGCCCACCGTGGGGCCCGGTGAGATTAATACCAACAAACCGTCATCCAGCAAGACCAGGTGGACACACAGAATCTGCAAGCCGAAGCCAGATTCGTCAAGATGCAACTCCAAACATAAATCAAGTTGCTATCTCCAAGAATCGAGGATCCCAACGAGATTGACATGCTGGATCTGCAACCCGAAGATGGGATTCGTCAAGATGCAACTCCAAACATCAATCAAGTTGCTATCTTCAAGAATCAAGGATCCCAACGAGATGGGCATGCAGGATCTGCAACCCGAAGAAGGAATTTGTCAAGATGCAACTCCAAACATCAATCAATTTGCTATCTCCAAGAATCGAGGATCTCCCGATCAAGATTAAGTTGTGTCAATCTTTGATCCGAAACTGCGGACCCTCAACCCCACTTGTTCGTCCTTCGATTTGCCGCGAAATCATAGGATCCTCGAGTCCTCCCATGGAATGGTGCCTGACATCAACAATTGGCACCTATAGTGAGTCTTGATGAAAAGTTCCATCAACAATTTGCGCTTACTATGGAGCCCGGTGAAAACATTTACAAATTGTGTTTGTCAACGTCAAACCCGCTAGGAGAGATGGCGGAGAAACCTGATGTCGTGGAATTCACAATGAGGCCGTGGGGGCAACGATTTAGGTCCGTCTCTCGTAAGACCTACGTTTTACCGAGGAAGCCCATGTGGTCTACTTTTTAAGTAGGCACACCTCCATCAATGAGGTCAAGGGTTCAATTCCCCGCGAATTGCTATTGTGAAAAAAGAGATCCACTTTATCACCCACACCACTCTGCCTCCATCTCTTCCGAATCTTGACGGGACAACTTTTGCATCATCATCACCAATCTAGCAGGGGAACCTCTTCCCTTCTCATGCTCCAATCAAGGAAAATCCAAGTAGGAGAAAGTTTTTGTAAACTCAAAAACTATATGGTAATCCCTCCTAACTCTCAACTATACTTGATATCAAAATTCTCCTATGATGTTGCATAACCCAAACTATTGTCCTTATCACTCATACACGGACCACACTAAACGCACAACATAAGCTCGCAATGATTGACATTTGTCGCTTACCATGGTTGGTTTGGATCGCCTACCATTATTGGCACGATTCTCCATGGTGCCCACCACAATTGGTGCGGCCTGCCTGTCATATTTGACACGGCTTTCCATGATCGCTCGCCACGATGGTGCATCCCATCAACCATAACTGGCACGACTCTCCAATAATTGCTTGCGCTATTTGTGTCGGCTATGCATGCCATAATTTAATCACTCACTTAGAGATGTGTTACCAATAAAAAACTTTGGTTTCAACCTTAATTTTATTATTGGTAAGGGGGCAATTGATAGACCTCGTATTAAACCGACATCATTTAATGCGTCACTTTAACAAAATATAGTTTACTAATCAAGAACACAAAGTTAGCATGCCCTCTATTCCCTCACCACACGTTGGAGAGCCAAGTTAAGGTAAACTTTGTTCTTGTTGTCAAGTAATTAATCATTTCTAATTGGCTGATTTATTAGTTATTTCTATCTCTCACCCAACTCACCAAATCCACTTTCCTAAATGACCACCACGTGTTCAAAGGTTAGAATTGGAGGGTTTGGGTTTAACTCCTTATTACCATCCACCATCCTCAACAAATTTACTTTCCAATGCGTGAAGGTATTAGTTGGTAGATGGCTTATAGGAAAACCCCTATTAAGCTACACGTGGACAAAATGATAGAGACATTTGCCATGTCATTGTTTGGTGCACAACAAGCAACCAATTTGGGAACTTATACTTCCCCTCAAATTATCACCTCACATGGCCACGTATTTGCCATCACACCTTCTCATACATGGTCAACAAATTTGGAGTCAATAATCCATCCTAGTACCCCTCATAACCACGTGTCCAAGGTTGATGGAATGGTGGTGATTTGATTTTCTACACCCAACCATCCATCGCACATTGGGTGGTTGGAAGATAAATATATTTTTATATTCTTTACACACCATCCACGCCAGAAACAGGAGGCACCTATAAATAGAACGCTCATTTATGCTTTCTCGGCAGTTCATTCTTGATTCGAACTTCTAAAACTCTCTCTCTAGAGCCGGCTCAATACGCCGCTCCCGGTTACTCTCCTCTCAAATACTGACTTGAGCTTCGGAGAAGGTCCCCGCCGACCACCGGCCGCCGGGTTCCTCTTTTGCAGGTGTCCATCTCGGAGGCTGGTGGTGGCGGACGTTGGCCAAAGGAGGACAGCGCTCACCGGACCTCAATCACATTGAAGCAGGCTCCTCGGAGCTTGGCATCAACAATTATATCTATAACTTTTTTTCTTACTTTGTCAAGGCTTTAGACTTCAGCCCAGATTCATAGCATACTTCCCAAGGCTGTCTCGTGTTTGGAACGGGCGGTCTCAGAGGGCAAAGGGAGAGTTTATGTTCATTGCACTGCTGGACTCGGCAGGGCTCCTGCAGAACTTGGGAGCATAATTAATGGCTACTGACAGGACACAGAAACCGGGGGCAGAAGGCAGAAAAGATAAGGTCCTCTCACCTGCTGTTGGGAGGATGGGACAGCGGAAAATATGATATTTGTGTAATGATAATATAATACACGATCTACAGGAATACATATTCGTCCAACAAGAAAATTGTATTCTTATAATAGATAGTGGTATGAAATCAAGCCTTCAAGAATATGATATTTATGTTATGAGAATATTATATTCTTGAAGGCTTGATGATATTTATGTTATGAGAATTGATATTCTTGAAGTCTTGATTTCATACTATTATATATTATAAGAATACATTCTTTTTGTTGGACGAATATGTATTCCTGTAAATCGTATACTATATTATCATTACACAAATATCATATTCTCCACTGGAAGGACGTCCTCTAGGTGGGAGGACCATATCCGATCCGGGCAAAAGGGCCGATGTGCCAACATTTGAGACGAAAGCAGAGAAGGTTTTTTGGAATTGCAGCCTTTTCTACTTCAATCCTCCCCTTTCTTTCCAACCATCTTCTCAATCATTATACATGATTGGACATTCATGTGTGTTGACAAAAATATTAAGGAAAATTTATGGTTTTCCCTGAATCATTAGGCGATGATGCTATGCCTTCTCTTCTACTGGATGTATCAGAACTTCCATGGTCCAAAAGGAACTTTCTTAGATCCCATTCGTACTGGAAATTGTATAGTTACAGCGAACACACTACTCTTCTAGCTGAGAACATGACCAAAATTACAGCCAAATCCCTCAGGCCCACACATAATAATCCATCTACCGAACGTTCAATTCAATCACGGCTGTCTCTACCCTCTTCGTCGTCATTAGAATTAGTGTATACATATATATGCTCTTGAATGAAAAAAAAAGCTGCAGTTTTGTTAACATGTCGCAGAAAACAGGGCAGGTGACGTCAGTTGTGCAGAACACCCTCAAAATTCATACTCAGTTTTCAGGTGCTAACCATGTTTTCCTGAGGGAGTGGAATTATCTCTGTTGGGATTGATCTTCAACAATTCCAATGGTTGCATGCTGAAGTGCATTACAGAGTATCATGTTCCGTAGGTTTCTTCAGCTAGCTTGACCAATTTGAAGCTTTGCCAGTTGGGCTTGACGCCTTCCCAAATGAAATGCAGTGATTATCCACAGTAAACAGACCTGGGCATCCAAAACTCAACTTCGATTTAGTAAAGAATAGCGCGTGCTGGGTACATAAAAGTGAAACTTTGATGTAGTAATTGATAATAAGATGGCTATACGTACAGGTAAGGCATACAAAGAGACAGTTGATGTCTTCCCATGAAGAAAGCTGAATAGTAACTGATACATTCCTGCTGCTGTAGCATCCCCAAGTCGCTGGACAATTACATCTATGCAGACCTGAAAAAAAAGGGAAAAAAGCAACAGCAACGGGATGATGCACTTCGGATCACATTTTGACATTTTCACACACCAGCTAGTTTCAATAGAGGAATACAAGAAAGACAAACCAAGGTCACTAATAGTAAAATGGCTCCAGGAGAAATTATTCTAGGGGCATCTGTTTACCAGAGAGGTCACATTCACAGACCTTAGCTTTGTATTTCTCATCCTGAGAGACAACAGTGAAGAGGAGCTCTCTTCCTGGCCTAGTCACTACATAGGAAACCACCTGCGAGGGAAAAAAATGAAGCAATTCAATATGCTACTTTGAATAAGCCAGCCTCTTCAATTAACACATTTTTGCTGCCAACAGATGAGGAGGAAGCAAACCCGAATTTCAGAACTCTGAAACTCAACATAGCGCAAGATGGTAAACTGAATGGCCCAGTAAATAGATTAAGAAAAAGCGAATAAAGGCATCAAGTATGCATTCAGACCTTCCGTAAGGTCTCACAAATGGCAACCACCATCCAACTCGGCCAAACAGCAACAGCAATCAAATTGGAGAAGGCGACAACAGGAGCCGAGCATATAGCTATAGTGACCCCAGCCAGAGTCAGTATACGTCCCTGTAGTGGAATTGATCAGTAAAAGAGAAATGAATTGCAAAATCCTTAAGATTAATAATTAAAAAGATATCAGTTGATATTTCTTTAGCTCTAGTATTGACGACAATTAAAGAATGGGAGGAGTTACGGTGCTAATTGTACAAGAGTTAGCACCGTCCTAACCAAGGGAAAAACTACTACTAGTTTGAATTAGTAGTGATTTAGCTTAGATGTTGTATTGATTTTATAATAATCCGTAGTGATTTCGTTGTTTTTAGTAGCGTTTTTTGCTAGTTATCACGGTGCTAACCCCTATAAGGGTTAGCACCTAATCCCATCCCTTAAAGAATTGTAAATAAGGATGCTACTCAGTTGGGAGCATCATCTCCAAATTTCGGGAACTTTTGTCAATTAGGCACACACTGAGTAATAACAACCTCCATGTACAATATTTAGAATTCAGACAAGTGCAACAAACAGATTATGAGCTTCGTCATGATGGGATGGAAATAATTGTAAAACGAATAATGGCAACAGCCCTTATTCTCATTCTGTTGTCTAAAGTTGGTCTTGCAGAAATGTTAAGCAAGTCAAAACTGAAAGCCAGCTACCATGATGAGGATATAAAGGTTAGAAAGTACTTTTCAAGAGTTCTCTCAGTTAACTTAGTTAGAGTAATTCTTTACATTCTGCAATTAGATAAGAGATAGCAATAATAATTTTTACATGTTTGAAACTATCTTACCGCTACTCACCGTTAAAGTAAGTTGTCCAGCAAGTATAAAGACAGCAATGAAACTATTTATCTGCGCAAACATTCGCCTTCTGCCAATAGAAGTTGTTATGGTCAAGGCAATTACTGTCACTTTCTGCAGACACAAAACATGCAGAAGGTAACATATCAGTCAACAAGAGACTAAACTAGACAACACATTGCAGCTTCTCCTACACAAATGGAAGGTTTGCGTTCTGTAATTAAATATGAAAGTATGTAAAACCGAGATCAAGATAGCCATACAGTGGACCAACTCCCCACAATTCTACAGAGTTCGCCAGCACATAACAATTTGAATACCACAAAAACTAGATCCACAAAGGGAAACGGAGGGGTGATGAAAAAACATTCGGTGATTATAAGGAAATCCCAGAACCATATCAACTCTGTAACCAGCAAGGGATCTATAGAATTTTCTTATAAGAACCTCACACAGTAGGACAAGATCACAATAGATGAAGTTAAGATAAAGCAAATCTACAGAACTCGAGATTCGATGCTTGACCGAAAAGATGGTTAGCTACATAAAGCATGGGCAAAATCGAAACTACTTACGGTGAAGATAAAGAAATAAAATGAATACAGCTTAGCTCTAAGGAACCATGCATGTTACATGAGTTTATTTAACAGATTTGTCAGTGTGGTGCCAGAGAGAACCTAGAAGCAATCTGCAAAATATCCAACTTAAACTATTATCCGCCAGCAAATGGTTGTGTCGTGGAATAAAAGAGCCTTTAGTCCTGGAGAGTCTTTATGCAAAAAGAAAAAAAGATTCCTCGCTACACAATGAAGACAAACTTAATTTTTAAACACTAAACCAATCTCCAAGAACAAAATTCAATTTACCTGAAAATAGAAAAAAGACGAGACAACTGCACTCAGCCATAAGAACAAAGATACGTATTGCAAATAAGTTGATGATAATATAAGCCAGAGCCCATCTAAGATCGCTGAAATCTGAGGCTTCATCTTGGACTGAGGTGACTTTGGAGTAGCCACTCTAGATGTTGGTGATGCCTCTGTACCATTCTCACTTTGTTGGTTAGGATCACTCGTTCTGTGATGCAAATAACAGTAATAAATACATCATGCTAACTCAGATTATTGAAGCAACATATATCAAAATATAAATCACTAGGATTTACTGGTTTACATGGAACCCATCAAATCATAAATGCACTTGAAGCATATAAATGAAGGCATTCCTGATTCAATAATTTTCTACTTCGTTGTAGCATAATTCCGGTAGGACCTTTACAATTCCTAGATCAGGTGCTTATTTCGCTTTGCTGAGGCAATGAAGCATTCTTGTTCTTCCTTACCCAGAGTCCAATAGTTTCCATTTAGGTAAAAGGGACATTCATAGCAAAATCAAGCAAGAGATTGATTACTGACCTCAAGGGAGATAACTCTTCAGGTGAATGGGAAGCATCTTTGCCAATCCCTTTTGATGACTGCGCAGCAAGCTCCATCAAGAACGCAGCAAATAGAAGTAAAACTGCAATGAACCAGCTCATGTTTTACTAAAAGGGTTTACTAGTTTAATATTTATCATCACATTTGCTAAGAAGCAAACCATACATGAGCCTAACCAAGCCATTCCAGAGGCAAATAGCGACCCGAAAAGCTGGCCTAGGGTGGCACCAGCACCAATGAACCCAAACAATCTTGAACCTGACTGAATACAGGAGCAATATTAAAAGCAGCAAAAATCACTAAGCAAGCTTTTAGATGCCATGCTGCAATATACAAACCTCACTGTCCATCACATCAATTATCCTGGCCCAGGTTGAAGAGATGGTGATAAGATTGAGTAGAGCAACCTACAACCAGTGCGAAAATCAAAAGGGAATCCAAATTAAAGAATTTTAGCCATAGCGGTAAAAATTGAAAACTACCAGCTAGTAAAGTTTCATACCCAAAGAAATAATCCAATTCTCACGGAAACATAATACCAGCCATGCTTAGTCCAGCCTCCAGGATTTGCGCTGTCCTCCAACCCAGTGGGCAAATCAGCTTCAGCCTATACATGAAAAGTACTCCAATAGAAAATGAAGAGGATCTATCTCACAGCTGTAGAAGACGTTCAAGAAAGCAATGAAGTTGTGATCATACCTTGACTCCCAATGGTGAAACAACGTCAACTCCAACGGAGGACGAATGCCAAAGAAAGAAGAAGACGACAAGGGACACACTAAAAAACCTGTGTATCACAACCAACGCCTGGAATTTCAAGCGTTAACCAAGACAACTAAAGGGGCCGCAAACACACAACTTAACGAAACACGCACAAAATGGATTCCACCTTGGTTTTGGAGAAATTAGGGAGTGAGAAGATGAGCGTGGACAAAGGAGCTGCGATCAACGTAAGAGCCAATGATCCGATGAACAAGGACGGGAGGTTCGACAATCCGAGCGAAATGGCGCCTTCGTCCCGCAAGGGTAGCACCACAAAGTAAGCGCTCAATATCTGCAGAATGCAGCAGCGGGCGGCAGAATTCAAATTTCTTCACCAGATGACATTGAAAACCCAATACAGCTTTACGGGGTGACGGGACATTGAAATTTGGAGGAACTTCTTACGAAGAAGAAACAGGAAGCAGAGTGCAGCAAAGCGTGGAGCTCATGGGGATGGACCGTGACAAAGACAGAGAGAATTGCATCCAATCGAGGTCTCCCCATGGCGATGACGGATCAATCTTCTCAAGTAATTAGACGCCTGATTTCAGGAACCAGATTGAGGAGAGCTGCTTAGAGCTCGTTATTTCGTCGCCTCCTCCAGATTCATGACCGCTGGATGGTCAATGCTCAAATTTCTGAGCAAGGAGAAATTGCAGAAAAGAAGAGGAAGAAAAAAAAAAGGAATATGTACCGCATTTTAAGCTTGTAATTACGGTAGCGAACAGATTAGCGAATGAAGGATTTCAATCTCTACGGGAGGTTTTACATTGTAGTAAGGTTGTTAAATCCCGATTGGATCCGGTCCGATTCTAGTCGAGTTTTAAAATGGCTGTCAAAAAATTTAACGGTCCGACCTCTAAAGGGGAGAAAAAAGGAGGAGGAAGAGAAGAAGGGGAACAAAGAAAGGGTGATGGTGAGTGGATCATGAATGTTAAATAGAATCCAGAGAAAACGGAAATCTTGAGCCGACCATCAGCTTTGACACAGAATTCAGAGAAAAGAGTATAGACTTTTGACAGAGTTAATTTTTTTTTCTAATATCTTATTTTTGTAGAGTAAAATATCCAAGGTCGGTCAAGAGGGTGTGTCGGGAGGCCCTCCGGCCTCCGAATATTAAAGGCCTCCACTTAGATATGTTAGTTAATCTAATCTTATATTATAGGTTGTATATGTAGCATATAATGAATTGATTATAAGTATGCTGACGGGTTCAATTATATTAATTAATATGAACGTTAGTCGTGGTCAAAATTCTCATGTATATATATACACACTAAACATGTATACTGATTGTGTTTCGAAAAGTATTGTTTGTGTTTCGAAAATCCTATTTGTAATAAAAAGTAATACAGGAAAGTTTTAATGGAATAACTATGATAACAATTAAAAATAATTTTGTGGAGAATATGAAAATTAGACAGATAATAGACAATTTTGTTTTAAACAATTTTTTTATTGTGGTGAAACCATTTTATTAATTAAACAAAACAATCGACAAAGATCCAAATGATTCTCATAAGAAACTGGTAGCAGGGGTGGTAAATGGTTAGTCGATTATCTGTTTTAACCGGTAGTAGTTAAGTTTTCGGTTAATTGTATTTTGCTTAGCGATGACCGCTAACTAACTAATTGATTAATGGTTAACCGATAATAAATCAATAACTGCCTACAAGTACAATGACAGAGTTTTGGACTTTGACTAAGGAGAAAAGTCCTAAGATTCAAATCCAACCAAAATAGCAATTCCAAAGACTATTGTTTACTTTGGCAAACAAGCCTCCTCACAAAGTGTTAAATATGTTTAAGAGTTAGAACCCAAAAGTCACCCCGCTCTGACTATCCTTTGGAGTCTGACAGAGCGAACATTGCATACTAGTACTCTTTGTTTATTTGATATTTGTGGATTGTGATGATCTTGTGGTGTTTGTGTTTGATGTCTTGTTAGTTGGTACTCGTTGATTGAATGAAGACTTTTGATTATTTGTAATTTTATGTGTTTGAACATGGATTTAGATTATTTATTATATTAGATTGATGTTATTTCTTTTAATTATTATTTAATTATTAATGTCAATTTGTTTTGAATTATTTGAATGATTATATTTTAGTATTTAAAAGGACATCATACAATAACAAAATAAAAATATCAAATGTCCAGATTTTATTTGTTAGCGGTTAACCGACAAACAAACTGCTAACCGAATCAATAATAGGCGGTTAACCATAAAAGCTTATCAGTTTGGTTATTGGTATGCATTTTTTGCTTAGTGGTTTACCGAAACTAAACCTATTAACACTCCTAACTTATAGGGGGAGGTGCACCAGCTACCGGGACAACAAACTTTCTCAAACCAAAAGTATCAATGCAAAATAGGCAACAACGGATGAGAAAGTTTACATAAATTTGAAACAAAACCTATGCCTTCGTCAGAACATCCTATTGAATGATAATAAGACTTGAGCCTCCCTATTCCCTAATAGTTTGTCGCGTCTCATATAATCGTTTTAATTTTATTATACTTAATAGTTAATTTGGACAATATCTCAATTTTGGAACTCTACATCACTTTAATTCATAGATTAAAAAATTGTATTGAAAAGGTATTAATTAGTGATATATAACGGTGATATCCAATTTACTATATTTTGAACAAAAACATTAGCTATTCAAAACACATGAATGATGAAAATCTTATCATTTTCTTATCATCACCATATAATAATGGTATGATATCATATATCCTATATTTTAATTTAGATTTTTTTCACAGATAGAATCCATTAGTGACGCAATGATATCCATGTTGCTAACTTACTATAATTGAGCAAAAAAACAAAAACATTAACCCTTCAAAACATGTGTTTGTTGGATTCTTATCACTGTCGTATAATAATCTTACCATATGTCAAAATTGACAGCACGATCATACCATTGTCATACCATGATATTATCAATATGACAAGGATACGATGATCTCAAAAATTTTGCTCGAAGATAAGACTTCATACTGTCTTATCATTGTCATACTAACATCATACTATTACGGAAATACTTCATTATATCATCCCACCACGATCTTATCAATATGGTAAGACTAATATCACCATCATACCACTGCCATATCATGATATGATCACTATAGCAATATCATGATAGACAGTGGTAAGATGACCTGAATTTTTTATGCTCCAAAAAGTACGAAAATGGATATCATTACGGGGAAGATGAGATCTAATAGTTCACATTATAAGGGTTTAAGCAGGTCTATGATGTAATTGAGACCATGTGCCAATGCCAGATCGAGACAAACAACAAGATGATACGATGTCACGCAATTAATGAGACATGATGAGATTCCCATCAAGCGCATTGGACCACAACTTTGTACACCACTATAACCTGGCAGTAGGGGATGAGAGCTAGAGTGGACTCTTTGGTTCATAGCAACAATCAGGTGAGCGGGTTAATCTTTGGGTTTTTCCTCTTTCGCTATCCCTTCATATAGAATGAACAATTATGGTCCTCTTATCAAGGTCGTTCGATACCTCCTCTAGAACAACCACTTAGATGAGGGTAGTATCATTCGCTTCTGCTTATTATGTTAGCGAGATGAAACACTTGCTCCCTCCATTTTTTCTTGTGAACTAAATAAAAGATAAGCCTTATCTTATGAGGCATGGAGTATTTATTATAAATGACCCTCGATGTTGCAAATCTAAAAAGGGTAATGACTATTTATTAGCCAAAACTTTTATGAATTATTATTTATTAACCAAACCTATCGAAATACTAAGAATTAGCCAAATGTAAACTTCAAGTTAGCAATTTAGTTATTAATATTGACTTGGCAACATAATACTAACTTGGAAGAGGCACATGAAGGTCAACATTCCACATTTTTAGTATTTTAATTAAGAAAAGAGTTACAAAATTATTAACGATAACATAAAATGGCTAATATTTTTATGCATTACAAAAGATTTGGCTAATTAATAGCATTTTAATAGGTTTGGATAATATAAAAGAATCTGAAAAAGGTTTGGATAAAAAATAGACATTACCCATCTAAAAACTAATAGTGTCTTGATTTTCTAAACCAAACATATATTTTGGGAGGGAAGATTGGCATAGAACACCAACAAGGCATGTCAACTCAACTCATAGTGCCTTGGTTTTCGTTGTATTAGCAACACAACTCAATTCCTTTTTATAGGATAACCATGATCAGTTCTCATTACTTTTAACTTTGTGCCAGATAGTTTTGTATTAGTTGCATGTATTCCTCTTTATATAAGAGTGATATAAGTTTAGTTTTGTTGTTAGGTACTATTTAAGAGAACTGAACCTAATACCTCCAGGATCAAAACTAGTGGTATTACCACTATATTAATTGTTCTTGATCATATCATATTTGCTAACACTTTGCTTTCTTTGGCTTGTTCAGGCATACCCAAAACAGATGGAGTTTTTTTTTCTCCCAATGCCCGGAAATTTCATACCCCATATTAACCCGTGAGTTTCATTCTTTACCTATTTGATGTTTATATATATATTTGGTTCTATGTTCTTCTGGTGTTGGACCTCTTAAGAAAAGCCTTCAGTGGTTGCATTGTTTCGCAATAAAACTGTTGTTAACTTCCATTGTTTGCTCAAGGGTAATGTCACATTTTTTTTATAGGTTTTGTTAGAACTCAAACCGATGAGCTCATTATTGATGGAGTCGGATTTACTTTCCATAGAACAATATCACTATTAAAATAACCATGAGAATACTATTTGGCTCTCACTGACACCGCTAGAAATGCATGTCTCAGCTCTGTCATAAGCAAGATGTTTACTATGGAGATTGTACTGGACAAGACGCAAAAATTGTCAATTTGGTGTTTGAGGCCGGTGCCATATGGGATCTGCTTCCTTTATGATGTCAAGATCTTCCTATGTTGGCCTGTAACCCAAAACATATCTTGCTTCAATTTTATGCATGTGATATGTTTAGGTATACTCTGTTTGGTAAAACAACTATTTGTATTTCCAAATACGGGAAAAAGATCGCCAATCAGTTTTTCTTGACAATGCATGTACTTTTTGCTTTCACTTTCATAATGTGAACCTCATTTTGCTTAGAAAGTGCAATGTTTCACTGCCCGAATTTGATTGCATACAAATTGATCAGTACTTCTCTCTTTGAAAGAAGCACCAAATTGATTAACTATGAAACTCAGGATACAAAAGTCTTATGCACACACTTTCAAAAAATTTAAATCCACATTGTTGCTCGTAGCACAACGATCCCCAATTTGTTGTCATTTTAAATCCACATTGTTGCCAGTAGCACAACGATCCCCAATATGTTGTCATCTAAACTGACTCCATATGACTGAGCATGCTTTAGTTCCTGTGGCGTAGCCGCGGGTATTGGTTCTAGTTCTTTCTAATGATTCAGGGTGTAATGATAGATGGACAACTGATTATGAAGAGCCTATCAAGTCAATTGCGGGCAACAATTGTGGTTATATGTGTAAGAGAGTGGTATAAGATCCAAAATAACCTTCTCCTAACAACTCGAGTTATTGGGAATAGTTAGTTTATGACATGGTATCAGAGTTGGCTTG